ATAATTTCAGTACAAGAATGCCTTGGGTAATTTGTCCACCACAGGAGGTTTGGAGACTTAGATACATAATAGGAGGCTGCTAAAGACGCCATGGAAAGAGGTTTGTGGAGGGAGACACTAATGGATTGACTTATTTTGACAAATTCTAGAGCCATTTATTTCCCTGCTCAAAGTCAATCAGTTGAAGCATTGTTGAATAAGTAGACAAGCAGATCTGATAAATATGCGATGTTTCTGGTCACTGTGGCTGACAGAATATGCCCATGACATGGGTTCTACCACTGCTTCTGTGACCCTTTCAGCTCACAGGCCCCTGGCATTGTCTGGTGGAAATTTTCCAAAGTAGGATCTGCATGGATTTCTAAAGATGTTTCCAAGCAAGCAGACATGAGTAGGCTTGAGCTGGGAAACCAAGAGCTGGAAATGCTCTATGGATAAAATAGATAAAGAAATGATGCTGATGCACATGGATGAGGATGTCCCCAGACAGACCTCACTTAAGAGGCAACTTTTTGTTTCAGAACCACAGTATTTCTACAGATCTGTCCACAGAACCTGATTTAAACTCAAAGATTCTGAGAGCCCTTTCACTTCACTCCTAGTTAGGAGTATGAGATGAGGGCAGGGAGAACCCTAGAGGGTTTTTTTTCAGTTAAGACAGATTTGCAAGAAAGGCTTATTGAGGGCTGAATTCTTCTTTTCAATACTTCTATTCTTCCTAAGAAGGATTCCAGAGTGCTAGAAAGAAGTGTTGAATGCATAAAAATCAAGAATCAGGAGAGCTCAACATTATCCTAACATGTGGAAGTGATTCTGCTATTCATTTTCTATAAATTATATAAATATACAATATTTATGTATACTTCTGAAACTTCACAAATGTATAGTAATCGTGCCATCAAAAAATGGGAAATGTGCCATCATCAAAAAGAACACTCTTGTGGTGCCCATTTGAACAACACTTCTCCACTGTATAAGTTAACATGAAAAAAACAGAAGAGTAATAATTTCTTTTGCTCTTTATTACACCTCATAGCTGTTACTGTTTTTTCTGACTTTTCCACAACATTGCAGGACATCTAAGCATATGGAAACGAAAACTGTGAACAGCAAAGTGGGCTATGGGACTTTGTGGATCATTGAAACTAAAGACTTCCAGCTACTCCTGCTAAAAAAGACAAGGATTTTTTCCCATTTCTCCTTTTATACCCAATTAGGATATTACTCAAAATGATACTTTCTCTCTGCAGCACATCTCAATTATTCCTTGGATGCTTGCCGCTAAACATCCATAGCTATTTTTGTTGTTTCCACTGCGAGATACAGTGGACTTGCATAGATATCACTGTACTCACAGAACACACTCTGGATGAGCTAGAACAGTGCAGAGGAATGCAACTGTTTCTCTAAGTGGGAGGAACATCACGGTTTATGGGGTATATATTGCATATTCAGTCTGTACAGCATCAAAATGAAAATGCTAAAGCCTATAACATTTTAAATATTTAAAGGTAAATAAAAATCCTCTCAAATGATATCAAAAACAAAAAGACACCACAAATAACTGTGGCTTAAATCAACAGGAAGTCTCAAGTCTCAGACAACAATAATAATGGCATCCTCCCTCACTCCTACCGGCACAGAAAAGAGATATACACACCTCAGCCTCCCTACTAGCTCAATGTTATTATTTTCACTTTTCTTCAAAGCCCTTATTTCCATCTTATAAGACAAGGGTTCCCCATTTTTTAATCATCTCTCTTTTCCCACAAACATATAAGCACCAGGACTTCAAGAACTTGTCTGCTTCATACTGCTATATCCAAATCCTACTGGGCCTTATTTCTGCCGAATTGGGTACACTGACTCTAAAGTGCATGGCATGTGAGGGATGTGGAAACATTAGCATCAAGAGCATAGTCTCTGAGAAAGAAAGGCTTGATTGGCACAGTGGTCCTGTCTCTCTCCCTTGCTAAGTGTCTATTGTCTCACAATTTACCTAAACTCAAAGGCCTTAGTTGAGTCATAAAGAAGATATTAAAAATATTATGTAGTATACTAAGAAGTGAATTTTTATACGTTAACTGACATACTTTATGATAAACAGTGTCTAATACACTGTAGGAAATACATCAGTGTTTTGATAATAAGTAGGAAAGACAAAAGCTGTCCCAGAGGACCAGTAGCTGCCTGCAGTCACTGCAAAGCTAAGTTTCATCTTGCTAAAGAGAAAAATGTCCTTCACCTCCCTCATCAACGTTACACAGACAACAAGACAAGACTAAGGGTATTTTGTAACCATAACAGTAAAAGTGGTAAAAGATAAAATCCCAAATCATAAAAATGAGTAATATTCCCTACTCCTTACTAAAATGACTGACTGGAACTACTTACGAATTAACTTTAGCTCCACTACATTGTTTTTGCCTTCTAGAAAACAATGATTAGGTTTACCAAAGATAAAATGTTTACCAAAGATAGAATTGAGTCTGCCTCCACACAGGATTCAATACAGAAAATGACTGATCATTGAATAGGAATCACATCATCTAACATACGGCAAAATCTTGCAAGAAGTCCTTCTGAACACCCTGTTACTGTTATACCTCACAGTCCTTTATGGTCTGTGGTCATTCTTACTAGAATTCATTATACCCCCTTCCTTGACTAGAGGTGCAATCCTGCAGGTCACTGGCAAGTGGGCACTGAAAAAACCATGATTGTAAAGTTTTGGGTTAAGAATGAATGAGAAATTACTTTCATGACAAAGATTGTAACTTTAAAAAACACAGTTTGCCTGAGGAAAAAGTACCTGAATTTGTATGCACATGATAAAATTGACTCATCATATATAATGATTAAATTAATAAAATTGCAAAGTATATCTGAAAATCCACAATTAAAATGGATTTTAATATATTCTCTCTCTGAGGAAATGAAAAGCACAGTAATATTTATTAACTTACAGTGGCTCAGAAAACAGTTGAGAGAATATATCAATGAAACAACTGCAGGAGTGCTCACTTCACCAAGAAATGCACATAGTATTAATGACATACAAACAAACATTGAAAACACATTGAGGGAATATGTTCAGCTACAAGTAACAGGAAACACAGTCTTCCTGACATGAGAAAGGTGACTGTTCTCATGTGGAAGAACTGGGTCAAGGCAGCCACTGCACAATGCAGCAGAGAAACAAACTCCCATGTCCTTCTGTTTATGCCCCACTGTACATGTCATGGTGAATCAGGAAAACATGCTCACTAGCACTATTAACAGCATAAGATGTTTCCTATACTCATTAGACCTTATACAGATATCATATAGAGAAGAGGAGAATCAGAGAATACTCCCAACCACAAAAGTCTGAATTAGGTTCCCGGTAGACATAAGAGACCATACAGAAAATTCCTAACTCTAATAGATCTTTGATGTGAAGCATGTGAAAATATCAGTGGAAAATATATCTCTATGGAAATGGAAATCAAACAGTTGGTGGTGGTTTTCAAGATACAGTTGACTTCTAGAAGGGCAAAGAATCCAGAAAATAGGATGGAAGATGGCGTCCTCAAAGCTCCTATGTAACTGTCTCTCTCCCTGTATGGTGGTTCCAAAATCTGACCAATGCCTTGTTTGCTTCTGCCTTCCAAATCTCATGCAAGAGAGGCTACTGGTGAATTCCAACTTGGGAGTACAAAGGGGATGGATTCCTAAAGATCTACTTCTTAATATTACCCCCATTGACATAATACAATACAGGGTGATATGTCTCGCTCTAGATTTTGTTGCCCTATCACAGGCCTGTACTTAATGCAAAGTCTATTCACCAAATACCAGTCAGAAGGAAGGACAAAGAGCAAATGCCCTAATACGAAAATAAGAATTCACAAGAGGGCCGGCCCCGTGGCTTAGCGGTTAAGTGCGTGCGCTCTGCTGCCGGCGGCCCGGGTTCGGATCCCAGGTGCGCACCGAGGCACCACTCCTCCAGCCATGCTGAGGCCGCGTCCCACATACAGCAACTAGAAGGATGTGCAGCTATGACAGACAACTATGTACTGGGGCTTTGGGGGAAAAATAAATAAATAAAATCTTTAAAAAAAAAAAAAAAAAAGAATTCACAAGAAAGTATACTCTTTGATACACTTGCCATACATCAAAATTTATTCCAACTGTTTAATAGTATGGAAAACAAACAAAGGCTCCTATACCCACCACCCCAGAAAAGGAGCTGTCTCTAAGAAAGGCACAATATATACAATGGATTAGGCATATCTGGGAACTGCAATAAAAGGACAGTAAGAAAATCCCAACAAATACAAACTGTCATTTCCAATTGCCCCTAAATACAGAAAAATGAATACATTATTAAAAAATTCAAGAGAAAATATTATCAGTTGATTTAAGGGAAAACCACTACTTAGTAATCTTATGTACTATTGATGAAGGTTGACTTGCAGAATTATCTCACCTCAATCTTCATTTCTGAAAGTACTTAATAGAAATCTAGAATCCAATGTCACACTTTAAGAAAGATTCTTGGTAAACACAATATATTTACAAATTTCATAACAACTCTTTCATGTTACAAGTTTTCTAGAACAGCCTACACATTAATTTCCATCAAGCTTTCTCCTATGACTTATAATTATATATCTTTTTAGTGGGAATTTCACATACAATGGTGTAAGCCATGTGACGTCTTTTCCGTGTTGCTCACATCCAAGATGTTCGAATCAAGGGACTCTTTTTATGCCTTCATTAAGATCTGGGATGACAAAAGTCTTTCCATGTTCATTACATTTACTTGGTTTTTCCTCTAGTGTGCATTCTCCCATATCCTCAAAACTTTGGATGACAAATAAAGGCTTTCCCACTTTCCTGTTATTCACAGGGTTTCTCTCAGTATGAGTTCTTTCAAGTCTTGAGAGAGAACTGGGAAAACAAATGCTTTACTACATTTTGTACATTCATAGGGTTTCTATCCAGTATGATCTCTTTTATATATTTGGAAAATTTGATGACAACTGAAGACCTTCCCCATTTTCTTTACATTCATATGTTTTCACTCCAGCATGACTTCTTTCATGTCTTCGGAGTAATCTGGGATACATGAATGCTTTCTCACATTCCTTACATTTGTAAGGTCTATCACCAGTGTGAATCATCATGTGTGATCGAAGGCTTGAGGGATCTCTAAAGGCTTTCCCACATTCCTTACATTCACAGGGTTTCTCTCCAGTATGAATTCTTTCATGTACTCTAAGAGAACCGGAAGTAGTGAATGATTTACTGCATTTTTTACATTCATAGGGTTTCTCTCCTGTATGAATCCTTTCATGTACTCGAATATAACTGGAAGAAGTGAATGCTCTACTGCATTCTTTACATGCAAAAGGTTTCTCTCCTGTATGAATTCTTTCATGTACTCGAAGAGAACCAGAAGTAGTAAATGATTTACTGCATTTTTTACATTCATAGGGTTTCTCTCCAGTGTGACTCCTTTCATGTACTCGAAAGGCACTGGGAGAAATAAATGCTCTCTTACATTCCTTACATTTATAAGGTCCATCTCCAGTGTGAGTGATCATGTGCACTCGAAGGTTTGCACGAGTAACATAGTCTTTCCCACATTCCTTACATTCATAGGGTTTCTTTCCATTGTGACATCTTTCATGCATTTGAAGAGTTCTGGGATAAGTGAATGCTTTACTACAATTTTTACATTCATAGAGTTTCTCTCCAGTGTGACTCCTTTCATGTTTTTGAAATGCACTAGGAGAAACAAATACTTTCTCACATTCCTTACATTTATAAGGTCCATCTCCAGTGTGACAGACCATGTGTGCTCGAAGGCTTGAGGGACATATAAAGGCTTTCCCACATTCCTTACATTCATAGGGTTTCTCCCCAGTATGAGTTCTTTCGTGTACTTGAAGAGACTTGGAATAAATGAATGCTTTACTGCATTTTTTACATTTATGTGGTTTCTCTCCAGTATGAGTTCTTTCATGCATTTGAAGAGACCTGGAAGAA